AAGCCAAAGAGTATATAGTATATATGTGTACAGTTGGTGGCATGGCAAGAAAGCCTGATGCTCAAATTTACCATGATAACGAGAAAGTATCTCTTTAACGTCTTCATCCTCATAGTGGTTCACATAGCGTTGATCCCCTACATGTTTAGTACTGCAGCTGAGCCAGCTTTATTTTTCTTATACTGCCTGGTGAAGCACTGAGGCAGGAATTTTGAGATTGCATCATCGCAATTGCAGTGAAAGACGGTTGTGGTGAAGGCGGTAATGGGAAGAGGTGATTAATTGGATGAAGTGGAGCCTCCTTGGATTACAGGACGAGAAAACTGCACAGCCAAAGAATGGGATTATGCAGGCGAGCAATTGCAGTATTGCCGCAATCGTTCCGAGTCAGTCTGACAAGATCAATATACTTCATAGTACATGTACAGCAAATAGACCTGATCATTGCCACAGGCCCACAGGTCGAGTCTACATGATTCTTGTTTTGAACTTTATCTTTCAGTTATACATAGTATCGGTACATGGTCAAGGGAAAACATCATCACACGTTGTAACGTGAAAAAATGTGGGCACAAGTATGCGATCGAGTCCACCAACTCAACCAGATTTTGAAAAGTCATTCGTGCCCAATCTAGCACGAAACAGCGCAAAGAAAGATGGCAGTCTTATCTAATTCTCTATCTGACGTAACCAGTACTAAATATAGCAGTAGTCTTGAAAAGGTACTTATTTAAAGGGTCGGCTTGAAAATTTAACACTGCTGCTACGGCACCGTTAGCGTTGCGTTACATGTAGATAATATTAATAATAATTTTATTAGGATGACCCAAAGCCTGACCGGCTATTGTGGGGTCTGTCGCATTGAAGGATGATGGTACAAGAGAGTACAGAGTGGGAAAGGGGGGGGGGGACTACGATGAAAAGGGTAATGGCATGCCAGCGAGTAGACCTGAATACTGACAAGAATGTTTGCGCAGCTCTTTCTTGAATACATGGACAGAAGATTCCAAAGTCAATGTGGGAGGGAGACAAGATGCAAATTTGGTTTACTCTTCAAGAGCTGCAATACCAGACTGTTACTGGATAGCATTGGTCACGTGGTATGCTGTAATCAACACTCGGCAGGTCACGTGGTGTCGACGTCATCAGCACTGCCTTCCCGCTCGTTAGGCGGCGGAATGGCGTCATTATGAGCCTCATCCTGCAGCTGATGGCTAGCCTGGTTTGTATTGTGGGGTATAAACAGCTGCCCGTACTGTGTGCTTTGATAGGGCTGGAGATACGGTGGTCTAGAGGCGGCGGACACGAGTGTATTCTGAGCGTGCCCACGATCATCTGCAAGGGTTGTCGCCATGCTTCCATCATAGGCAGGCGTAATGCCAGCAGTTGGCACAGGCCTGGCTTCATGAGTGACGTTCTGCATGACGTCGTACGCTGGTGGCACGGCTGGTTGTATCTGAGATCCACTGTTGGAAGATGATCCGTGCGTCGGCGGTGAAGTCGGGTTGGGCGTAACAATAACATTACGACGTTCTCGGTACTGTCGCACGGCCCTTCTCCCAGTGAAGAAAAGAATGATTGCGAATACTGTAGCTGTCACACAGCATGCCACAGCTATGATTATGTTCTTCTTCTGATCATTGTCATCCGAAGTGATCTTTGCATAGACAGTGAAAGTACATGTATACCAAAACGGGGAAAATGTAGAGTATGCAACATTTTTGCCATAATTATATCCATACTCGGTACGCTTATGGGAGTTGAAATGGGGATTTGGAATTGGGGAAGAACCAATCAACAAACAACACTGAGTGGGACTTGAATCAATGACCCTGGCGTATGACCAGCAGTTCTGGACAACTAAGCTCAGGTGTAGTCGCCCAACCCTATACTATAGCAACCATTCAAGAGTTCCTTCAGAATTCGTAACCGTAAATTTTACCGTAAATTTTAAAATTATTTCACTGCTTCGTTCCTTTCTCATCTGGACTAGCAGTTGCTTATCAGTCAGATCAGATTATCAGATTGCCACTCTACTTTGGATAACGAACATAATGCATACCGACAAAGGTTACAATCACTCGCCACGTCTCTTCCTGTAGTATTTTATTAGTATCATGCTTGCATGAATGAATCCGTGCTGCGACCCACAGTAAATTGGGAACTCGTGGCCTGGCACGAGGGAAACACTGATGCAGTGAATGTGATTTTGGTCTCTGACTACATGTACTTTGTGGTGGATCTGATGTATTCACCTCCCACGGCTTAGGAGCTGCATCTGCGCCTTGATGGTGACGTTCCTGCGGCTGCGGAAAACTCGGCTTTGAACCGAGTCTCACGCGAACCGTGAATTTGTTTTTACATGAATGAATGAATGAATGAATGTGATGATTGCACTGTCCGTACGTAATCAGGTCACTGTGCTTATAATTATGAAGATGTCACTATGCTTATGTGGTGGTATCACTATACGATAATATGTGATGAACTGATGATGTCA